TAATCTAATGAATAACTGATTTGTTAAATCAAATGAAAAATTGTGTTTTTGATTGGTCCAGACGCTACACTGCTTTAAGATCTTCTAGATGTTTTGTTCTTGGTATGAAAATGATCTGCTCTTTATTCCTCAAACAATGATGTACACTATGTGATCGTATTCCGGCAGTTTTATCTTCAAGTAACTTTGTCAATCCACTGCGGACTTTCCTATCTTCAGAAGAACCAGGAAAACCTCCAGCTCACTCCTAAAGAACTCATCAAGAACCTCCGTTGTCTACCGCATCAGGACTCTTGTTCAGAAATCGAAGCCAATGCAAGTAACCGCATTGGTTACTTACAACTATTTAGATGCGTGTTTAAGTTTGAGCCCCTTTTAAGGGGATTTTTGATTCTTTGATGATGTATGAAGGAAAGTTATTATTTTTTGGCCAGGAAAATAATCTTTCCTTGAATTGATAAATGATTATATTGTCTGCTCGGTGGATGGACAGATCAAATAATTGTAATCTTGATTCTGCTACAGTTAATTCTAAGATCTAATCTAAATATTTATTATTAATTATAACCAGTTATAATTAATTATAAATATTTCCCTTTTGAGCTAATTTGCTACATAGGGATGGAAATTACATTTTTATATTTGAGACATGGTAATTGTGCTACTTTGGGCTGTTTTTTTTTTTATTATTATTACTAGCATGGGCTTGGGATGCACAATTAAAATGATGTAATAGTTGTGACCTTCCATGATCATTCAGATATGATCAGGTGCAGTACTGACACTCTGTTAAGTCTGCATCAAATCAAGCACTCCGTAATCACAGGTAAACTGTCTGATCAGTCAGATGTTTGTCATGAGAAGTGCTCCACAAAACAGCTATGGTTTGCAGACATAAGAGTTGATGTGAAAAAATACATCTTTTGAATATATTGTGTGAACTCATTGCCCCGTTAGCTCAGAGAGCTTTATTTTCCCTCCTCAATAAGTTTTGTCAGTTGTTTTGTTTATTGGTCTAATTCTTGTTTCTTGGGTTGCATTGGATAGTCATTCAATTAATTCTCTTGTGCTCCGTTCCCCACTTTTGAATTATGTTGCATTGATAAGGAGTTATCACAAAGTAAGTCTGTTTAGTTGTGCTATCTTACAATGAATTTATAATAAATGTAGGTTAAAGTGTTGCCGATGTAACCAGTTAAAACTTGGACTGGCAATAAGGTCTTAAAATGTATGGAAAGAGTCTTAAAAAAGGTCTTAAAAGGTATTACATTTAACTCCATGATTCCTGTATATACCCTGAATGTCAAACTCATTCATTTACACCTTAACACAATAGTACAATGTTAAAAAGCCAACCAATGCCATGAGGCTAATTCAAAAAGTCAAGCTCTCAACAAGGTAAAGGGGGAGGTGTTGCTACAATTTATAACAATAGATGCATTGGGATCATATTCTCTATTAGGGTTAGACAACTCTATTGGGGTTAGACAACATGTGTCAGGACCTACTCATCCCAGATTTTACGCCTCTTAAGCACCAAATAACAATGACTTCAACAAAATATTGGGTTTTAAAAATGTGAATTTTATTTTTACAGACATTAAACATGAATAACATTTATTTGAATTTAAGTAGGATAACATTACATTAATTTCTTATCACTGAATTAACGATGATGTGCTTCTCTCTTTTGGTCAGAAAAAAAAAAGAAAACCTCTCGGTTCTCTTCAATCAGAAGTGTCAAATCTCTCTGAAATCACAATATTTACTCTTGTATATATGAATTCTAAGTATTTCTTCAATAAAGACATCAATAAACGAATGCTAATCACTCAGTAAAACTAAATGACCGTTCATTTTTTTAATATGTGTGTGCACGGCTTTATGTGGAAGTGTGCAGATCATAGGCGCGCAGTAAAGGAAGATAAACAAACCCCATGTTTATGATATGCTTTTCAGACGACACCTAACCTTGGCTTAATTTCAGCTATAAAGTTGGAATTATATTATCATTATAATGCGATTTGACTACTTTGATGTCTACACTTTATTTAAAGCTTATTTCAGACATTACATTCTGCAAAAATAGTTTATGATTTTAAAAAATACACATTTCAGCATTAGAATAATCAGAAACATCTGCAAAGTTTTAATTAGTTTACATGGTTATGACAACTAAAGATAACCTACTGGGAACGTTCCCTTTAGGTTATAAAAATAAAACCTAAAAATAACCTGCAGGGAAAGTTCTGGGAAGGTTTTCTTTAGGTTATAAAATTAAACCTAAAAATAACCTGCAGGGAACGTTCCTAGAATGTTCTTATTTGGTTCCCAACAAAATAACCAAATGGGAACGTTAGAGGAACGTTCTGTGTTTGTTGGGGTAAGCAGCAGGTGCACTTTTTGACCACAAAATACGGCACTACCATTTTTTTTTTAGAGATGCACCGATTGACCGGCCAGTGATCGCAATCGGCCGATTTTTCGTCAATCTCACGTCTTGCCGATTCCGAACCGATCCTTTTATTGCCAGTGGCACCGGCAATGACGTCACAGCCATGCGCACACTCACAGTCACGTGTTAACCTGTTTTAATACAGTCTATGGTGTAAACATGTCATTTCGTGTGAGAATTATTCTAATTTTAATTGCATTCAGTGTAAACGGCGACTGATAATGTATTTATGTCGTGCCAGATGAGGCTTTCACAGCCTGAGTGAGTGTGTGAGAGAGACAGCACACACAAAGTAACTGCGGTAGAAAAACAAAGATATTTACAAAATATGATTTAGTTAAGCAATATTATACAGCCATGATGTTTCCCCGAATATCAATATCAACACGATTGCGATGTGACACTGATTTTATACAATAGTATTTCAGTAAACAAGAAGTTAAAATGAAGAGACTTAGATTTTAGACAAAATATTGACTGTTTTTGCTCAATTTCGCTCTACAGTATAGAAATAGCTCCGATCAAAGCCACAGCAGAACTGTTGTGTGTCAGCAGTGTTTCGTTACTGAATTAATCCACGTTTTTGAATTAATCGAGTGAGTCAATGATTCAGTGGCCCATTCATAAGGACAGTCAATTGCCTCGTTTCTGAATGAATCAGCCATTTGAATTAATCGGTTGAATGAATTAATAAATGACTCGCTTGCCATTTGAGTCATGACTCACCTCACTTACGCACCATTTGCCGCCACCTACTGGTGGTTTAGTCATATTTAAAAGTATCATTGCAATTTTTTCAACATTTATTTGTATGTTTAAAAAAATATCCTCATCAAACTGTCTGTGTAAATGCATCTAATGCCACTTCAGATGCAGCTTCTGTTTGCTCAGCAGTGGAAAGATACAGTTTGTTAATACTAATTTCATTTGAATGGTAACAACTCTACTGTTTCTTATTATTCTAACTGAATTAATTGAAACAAAGTAAGAATTTGATGTGAAAGATGACACATTTAAAAAAAGTTAGGGAAAATGTATAAACAGTGGGAAATGACATCTGTCTTGTTATATACAGCAACTCAATTCTACCTCTTTCCAGTCACAGAGCACTTTGTTTTGAGAGTTGTTCAAGCGTTACTTAGTCCACATTGGGGGAATTATAATGTTGAATAATTTCCTTTATTATGTAAATAATTTTTTGCATTAAAAAAATAGATTTTTGTTTGTATATGCTGCGAATTATTGTTCTTAGAAAGAAAATCGGGATCAGCAAAATCGGTATCAGCAGGTCACACTTGCAAAAAAATAAAAAATAAATAAATCGGAAATCGAAATCGAACAAATTGCCACCTACTGGTGGTTTAGTCATATTTAAAAGTATCATTGCAATTTTTTCAACATTTATTTGTATGTTTAAAAAAATATGTAAAACATTAATCTTATAAAATTATTTATGCATTTGAAATTTTGCAGTGTAAATGCATTTATGGCACCTCATCCTCATCAAACTGTCTGTGTAAATGCATCTAATGCCACTTCAGATGCAGCTTCTGTTTGCTCAGCAGTGGAAAGATACAGTTTGTTAATACTAATTTCATTTGAATGGTAACAACTCTACTGTTTCTTATTATTCTAACTGAATTAATTGAAACAAAGTAAGAATTTAATGTGAAAGATGACACATTTAATAAGGTTGGGTTGGGGGGGAAATGACCATTTATAAACATAGTGGGAAATTACATCTGTTTTGTTACATACAGCAACTCATTTTAAGTGAACTATTTCTTTCTCTTCCCAGTCACAGAGCACTTTATTTTGAGAGTTGTTTAAGTGAGAGAAAATCTGTAACTTAGATTTTCCTGCGAGAAACACATGCTAAGTTGAATATTATTTAAGAATGCAATATAATTTTGTTCACGTACCGTCGTCGCTTTGTGTACCCCAGTTTGAAAATCACTGATTTAGATGAAGTTGCAAATAATGGGAGACACTTTTTCAACAAAATACATTAGATAATTGTATAGTTGATCAAACAAATGTATTAGTTCTCCCTATAGAAACATGGGATTTGTGCCTATAATGTTTTAAAAATAGTAATTTTAAGATCAATGTACCTATGTAATAGTTTATAAAAATACATCAGAATTACCTACATTTTGTATAGCAACTATCTACTTGACATCAGGTTTCACTTCATTTTTCTTTTTACGAGATACTGAAAATGACCAATTTTTTTAACTTTTTTATTTCAGAGCTGATTGAAAAAAACCAGGAGAATGAAGAATTGAGTGAAGTGGAAGAGAAAAATCACTTCAAAACTGGAGAAAAACTTTTGAGTTGCTCTCAAACCAAACAGAAAGATTTAAAGAAAAGAAGAGCCAAGAAATATTTCACCTGCACTCAGTGTGGAAAGAATTTCACACGCAAAAATGGTCTTGATGTTCACATGAGAGTTCATACTGCAGTGAAACTGCACAAATGTTCACACTGCGACAAGAGATTCAGTCGGTCAGGAATCCTGAAAACGCATGAAAGGATTCACAGCAGAGAGAAACCGTTCACTTGTGATCAGTGTGGTAAAATGTTTGTTTGTGCTGTAGTCCTGAAGAAGCACCAGAAAGTTCATACAAAGGAGAAGCCACGTTCAAGTGATTTGTGTGGAAAGAGTTTTTCATGTCTAAAAAAATTTTAAAAACATCAGAAAATGCATACTGGTGTGAGAGAGTACATGTGCTTTGAGATTCACTCTGGAGAAAAACCTTATAAGTGTTCACACTGTGACAAGAGATTTAGTCGGTCAGGAGACCTAAAAATGCATGAAAGGATCCACACTGGAGAAAAACTGCACACATGTGATCAGTGCGGGAAGAGTTTCACAATAAAAGGAAGCCTTACGGTACATATGAGAGTTCATACTGGAGAGAAACCGTTCGCTTGTGATCAATGTGGGAAGAGTTTTACACGATCATCAAGCCTTAACGTACACATGAACATCCACACTAGAGAGAAGCTGCACACATGTGATCAATGCAGCAAAACATTTATGTGGGCTTCAGTACTGAAGAAACACTTGAAAGTTCATACAAAGGAGAAGCCACATTCATGTAATTTGTGTGGAAAGAGTTTTTCACGTCTACAGTATTTGAAAGTACATCAGAAAACACATACTGGTCTGAAAGAGTACATGTGCTTTGAGTGTGAAAAAACTTTTACTTCAGCGAGCAGTTTAAAACTGCATGAGAGGATTCACACTGGAGAAAAACCTTACAAGTGTTCACACTGTGACAAGAGATTCAGTTGGTCAGGAGTCCTGAAAATACATGAGAGGATCCACACTGGAGAGAAACCGTATCCCTGCACTGCATGTGGGAAGTGTTTCAATAATTCATCTGCTCTACACAGACATACAACAAATAATCACAGTAAGTAGATCATCTTCAGATTCAGCACTTTCAGGTCTGATGTCGTGTCATCAAATGCGACACAATATTGCATCAAGCAATAAAATATAGTCTGGATAAATCTGTCCTAACCAAACATTAAAAGTGACATGACAAAGAAACATATAAAGTTTCACAATGAATAAAGTTTATCTTCATCTTCAAAACCTGCAGATTCAACTGTGAGATTTAATCAACTCGATGGAGTTCCTCCCCAAAGAACAATGTAAAAAAGATGTATTATTGTGTATCATTTTGCTTCATGATATAAATGATTTAATTGTGCTTTCATATGAGATTTATATTATGTTCAATTGTCTTATAATGCATATGTATCACTTGTAGTTTGCTTACTCTTTTATCAAGGGAAAGTAGAAGCTTTTTACAAACTGTTCTTGTTCAGGAAGCTGAAGAGGCTGTAACACTTTTAAGAGAGACTGAGATTTATTTTTTAACCTTTTTCACTGTTGTTTTTTTAAATGACTAGTTATTCTTCCACATATGGTGTATTCAGAAAACGCAGATGCAAGAAATACTGTCATGTAGCTTTGCAACTGATTGTTATTTGCTTCTCTTGTAAGAAAGGATGGGTATCTGAACCTGGTATTAAACAAGCCCTGGGCTAAAATCTGATGTGTCTTGAGGACTTTATGGCTGCTGTGTGCATGTGTCTGTTAAGTTCACATGACCGTAGTAATCCATTATTATAAGTTTCAACCACTGATCTATAATAGAGAACTAGATTGCTCATGACATAGAAGTGAAGCCGCCATATTGCTATTTATTAATATTTCCATATGTACATTCTGTTGAATTAATAGGAAATCATACGATTTTAATGAGAAAACATCACCTAAAAAGTCAGTGTTCTTATATCTTAAGTATTCCTGTACATTCTTACAACACAAACATCCTAAGCATGTAAATTTGGTTATTTGTTTAATATTGGGAATTTCCCTTGTGTATTAAAAAGTTATGTATTATATTCATAACAGTGAACATCAGATGAACATCATATGGATGAGATCCTAAACATATGTATTACAAATGACAAAGTGCACATTGTGAAATCTGAATAAAGTTTTATGCTGTTGTGGCAGAAGACCGAGGTTTTAAAGGGGTCATATAATGCGATTTCAATTTTTCCTTTCTCTTCGGAGTGTTACAAGCTCTTGGTGCATCCGTTGTTGTATTGTTGCTGCCGCCATGCCGTGGAGATGCTATGTTTCGTTGTGAAAGCGAAACTACTTTGTTTGGCCTTCCATAAGAGGACGATATCTCGTTCGTATTTATTTAATACATGAGTTTCACAATTTGAGTTGAATTACTGAAATAAATGAACTTTTCCACGACATTCTAATTTATTGAGATGCACCTGTACAGATTAAATAGCCTCTTTGATTACGTTGATTATCCCTTACTTATTCCTTGGTCTGTCTGAATACTGGATTCCAATTGGCTGGCAGGTATGCAGTAAAACCTTTTAGCCTAATGCACAGGTAGTTCCAAGTCAGTTTAATCATTGTTCTATATTAATGTGCTGCTTTAATTGATGCACACAAACCCACCAGAGTTGCCAAGTCCACGTATTGTATGTGACTTTGGGCTTCTTTTTTTGTAAAAATGCATGAAAAAATCCCGGGTCGCGGGTTGCCGTTTTTTTGGGCTTGTTTTAAAAAATATGGTTGCTTGTTAGGGAAATCTGACAAGCAACTTTATTTATGTTCGCCGTATTCTCCAATGCACTGATTGGCACTCTGTCTCCTCACAGTTAATAGCCAACCAGTGCAATAATATAAGTGCTGCAGCATAATTTGCCAAATGTTCCACCCCCTCTGTTATAAACTCACTATTTATATTGGATCAAACCACACAGACGCCTGATTGAACTTGCCATCATCTTTTACTCCCCCATCCTACGTGATGACGTCACTCCAATACACAACATCCCCCTCTACTTGAATATGAACTTACCCTATCTAACACATTCTCATTCACATTTGCTTACAACTCACAGATATAAGAACATTCAAGACATGTAACAACTTTTTTTCTTTTTCTTATCAGCTCTTCACAATTTTATAGAACATCCTCAATGCTTTTAAAACAAATACATTGAACCATGACATAACTCATTTGGGACCTTTTTTTTCTCTTTTAACTAACATAACCTTTAACGTCCTTGGAACCTATTCAACTTAAATGTCCTCTTTTTTTCAGTATTTGAATCTCATTAGTCACTCAATAACATAGTCTCTAAGTCTTTCAGGTAATTTGATTTGTCGCTGAGGCCTGCATGGTTTAGGAGTTTGTTCCTCTGTCTGAATTGTTTCACTGTTCATTTTGCATTCCTCTGCGATTCCTTTTTGTTCTTCATCTGAACTTGGCTCTTGAGCACATTTCATATCATGATTCACTGTTGGTGTTTCCATTGAATGAAACTTCTTGACGAATGTTGTGTTCCGAGCATATTTTGCTCCAGTGGGTGACTGAACAATAACACTGTTACCTTCTCTGTTTATGACTTTGTGAGGTGTACTGTGAAATGTTGTTGTGAACTTCTCTGTTTTGTCTTGCCTCACAAGCACTTGATCTCCAACCTCTATGTCAGATATCTTTGCATTCCGTCTGTTGTCTGTGTATATTTTGGCTTTTCCTTTTTGCTCTGCGTCCCTGTCTTGAGCTTCCAGGTCACTGTGGGGTGTTTCAATGTCTGGTAACTTTCCTCTTACCTTCCTCTGAAAAAGATGTTTTGCTGGGCTTTTGCCCGTTGTGGAGTGTTGTATGGATCTGTAGACAGTCACATACTTGCGTAGCTCTTTTCTCCAGTCCTTCAGCTTGGGCAATCTGTACTTGTTTCATCAGTGATGCATTTTATCTTTCCACTTCCCCATTTGCTTGCGCCCACTTTGGGGTTGTTTTAATGTGGTGGATTCCATTTTCCTGACAAAACGTTTGAAACTGACTGGGCTTGAATTGTAGCCCACAATCTGACCTGATTGTTAAGGGAAGTCCATGACGACAGAAATTGTCCTCCAAACTGTCAATCACTTTTTCTGCAGTTAGTAGCAGTACAGTAGTTTACCGAATAAGTGAGTTCCCCATCTATGCGTCACGGCGGTGGCGGTGGCTTTAATTTGGAGACATGGAAGACGGAATGAATTCTGTACGCAGGAGGAAGTTTGAGGTGGACTGCCACCGGACTAATAATCTTGGTGACAGTAAACGGGCCAATAAATTTGGGAGCAAGCTTATTACAGATGGTACGGAGAGGAATATTCTTAGATGAAAGCCACACTTTTTGACCAATGACGTAGACGGGAGACTTTGACCGGTGGCGATCGGCCTGGGCCTTGGTGCGCGACCCCACCCGGAGGATGGCTTCTCTAGCCGTCTTCCAGGTGCGGTGGCACCTCTGGACAAAGGCGTGGCCAGAGGGGACCGCGACTTCGGATTCCATACTCTGAAAAATAGGTGGCTGGTAACCTATGCTACACTCAAACGGAGATAGGCCCGCAGATGACACTGGTAAAGAATTGTGTGCATACTCCACCCATGAAAGTTGCTGACTCCAAGAGGATGGGTTCTGAGACACCAAACACCGCAACACGCGTTCCAAATCTTGGTTGGCCCTCTCCGTCTGACCATTACTCTGGGGATGGAACCCAGAAGAAAGACTAACAGTCGCCCCTAACAAACGACAAAATTCTTTCCAAAATTTGGAAACAAACTGAGGCTCCCTGTCAGAGACCACGTCCACCGGGAGGCCATGAATATGAAAGACGTGATCAATGACAGCAACCGTTGTTTCTCTGGCTGAGAGTATTTTGGGCAAAGCTGCAGCCGCAAGCAGGGCCGCATTAAGACCTCACTGGGCCCCCCGTCACAATAATGATATAGCTTAAAATAGGATTTTTATCCAATCAAAGTTTCATAATCATCATAATTCTTGTTACCAATTCCAATATCTAAAAAACAAACAAAAAAACTGGTAACCAAACAGTTTCTGTGCCCCAATGACTTCCATAATATAAAAAAAAAACACTATTGGAGTAAACAGAGACCAGAAACTTTCTGGTGGTTACGAATATTCTTCAAAATATCTTCTTTTATGTTGAGGAGAACGAAGTAAATTCAAATAAAATTCATACAGGTTCAGAACAACTTGAAACTGAGTAAATGATGACAGTATTTAAATTTTTGGGTGAACTATATCCCTTTAAAATCTCATAATATAATGCCAGGATCGCATAATAGCCAACTAGTACACATGCTTTATCTTTAACTATTAACGTTCATTTAGGACACAAATAACTGTTGACGAGGTCGGAGACAGGCATTTTGACACATAACTATGTGTGTTTGAACGTTTAAACACAAGGCGCGAAAAATAACTCCAGTCAGGCGCTGTACAAGCAACACTGCGGCGGCGGTATCAACTGAGCAGGGCACTGCTGCGGCGGCATCGAATTAAGCAGGGCACTGCGGCAGCAGTATCAAAATGAGCAGGGCACTGCGGCGGCAGTATCAAATGAGCCGGGCACTGCGGCGGCAGTATCAAATGAGCCGGGCACTGCGGCGGCAGTATCC